TTATTTCCTAATTATATTTTAGATTTTTTATATTTAAAATGATATGTTTATTATGTATTTAATTGTGTATATTGGTTAGTTATACGAATTCAAACATATAATTTTAAAAAGTTGTATTCGTGCACCGTTACTTGTAATCTTGAATTTTTAGTAATATGTATGATTAAATAGTAGATGATGCATTAAAAATGATTTTTAAGAGTTTTATACATATGCTTTATAACATAGCAAGAAGGGTACTCGCATACAGCGAAATTCATCTCGATTTTAATGTTTCTTTTTATTCTTTTTCTTTGTCGATATAATACGATTTTATATGATTTTAAGAAAGCGATAATGTCTTTTTATTTTTGAATAAAATATAAATTTGAAGATAAATTTTTTGAAAAAGTTATATTGATATTAGTACAAATTGACTATCTAAAAGTTCTCGTTTTTTGTGTAATTTCTTTAACTTAATTTTTATTATAATTTAATTTAAGTTTAACAATGAAGTAATTTATTTTTGATTTAATAATATAATTTTTTATAAAGATAATAATTAAGTATTTTGTTAGAACTCAATGATTTTCATAATTATATTTTATATTTAAAATGAGATGTTTATCTTGTATTTGATTATATTTATCTACAGTTAGTTATACAAATTCAAACATGGAGCATTAATAAGTTGTACTTACATACAATTATTTGTAATCTTGAATTTCAAGTAATATATATCAATAAACAGTAATTCACGCATCAAAAATGGTTTTTAAGAGTTTTTGTCAAACGTTTTGTAATATAATATAGATTACATTCTTGGTCCACTATGTGTTTTAACACTGTGGGTCTTTATTTTGAGATATCTATTAATTGCATTCTTGTGATTAGTAGTTTATAACATAAGTCCCTAAATCTAACTCCATTAGAACTTTTTTTGTTAAATAGGTTAATTAAAAGAGCATTTTGGTCATTTTAAGTATAGAAACAAAACATGTAATAAAACCACAAGAACCAAACATGTTAAAAACACACACACTCTCTCTCTCTCTCTCTCTCTATATATATATATAGAGAGAGAGAGAGAGAGAGAGATTGATTCAAATGTTAACCAAGATTATTGTGTTAACTTTATTAACCAAGCTCAACCAATGAAAATCCATTTTTTATCTAGGTTCATTTCCATCTCATAATTTAATGATAAGGGTAAATATATATTTTTAGTTTGTATGTAACTCTCATATCATTAATTGGTTGTTACAAAATCAAAACAATCTCATAATTGTTGTTGATTTACTATTGATCTTGTTTTTCTATAATATTGATTTATCTATTTATAATGCTCTTGAATTTGTGATTGTTAAAGGAGACCTGATAGTAAAGTTTTCGATATCGTTCAAGCTAATATGGATAAACTCATTGGAAAACAACTCGACAACAATGGGAAGGTTTAAATAGTTTACAATGACAATTGGACTTCAAATTCCGGAAGTGAAGACAATAATCAAAGCGTTTGTATTGGTAATGGATTAATATGTTATTGTATTTGTTTTAATCGAAATTATGTTGATTATGACGTTTTTGTGTTTTTTATAGTTCATATTGTGTTGGTAGCTTTTTCTTTAATTATTACTACGATCCCAATTCATATGTTTAAATGGAATGAGTTTATCGTCAACTTAATTTGTTATGCAGTCCAATTCTGATAACCATTCGGCTTCATCAGCTGCTTGTGATGTTTGACCTGCCATAGACTGCAACTAATGTTCATATACGTTCAGGTGTGTTCATATATGTTCTAGTAGGGACATGAATCAAGGCATCTAATATTGAATATATAATTTTTGTTAGTTTATTATTGATTTTGTTTTTTTTATAATATTGATTTTTCTATCTATAATGTTTTTGAATTTGTGATTGGTAGAAAAGAGCCGGTAGTAAAGTTTTCAGTATTGTTCAAGCTATTATGGATAAACTAATTGTTCATAATGAAGGAACTATTGTTCACAAGTGTTCATATTGTGTTCATATGTACACTAGTTGCTATCTCAACATTAGTTTGCTCCTGAATGTGTCCATAATGAAAGAACTATTGTTCATAAGCTGTTTATTGTGTTCATATGTACACTAGCTGCATATCTCAACATTGTATCGCTCATAAATGTGTTCATAATGAAGGCACTATTGTTCACAAGTGTACATAACAAGTGTTCATATTGTGTTCATATGTACACTAGCTGCATATCTCAACATTGGTTTGCTCCTAAATGTGTTCATAATGAATGAACTATTGTTCACAAAATTGTTCATATTGTGTTCATACCTGTTTTTTTATTTCCTTTCGTGTAACAACTATTCTTATTATGTTCATATTGTGTTTATAAATACTATGCAGTCCAAGTTTATATATATGTTAATTTTTGTTCGTATTTGACACAATGATTCATATATATATACACAAATATATGTAGATATATTCATATGCTTTTTACTTTAACAAAAATAATGAGATTTTTTGATTGTGTAACTCCCAATTAATAATATGGGAGTTACATAAAAAAAATTACCTAAATACCCTTTTCCCCTTTGTTCACATATGTTTTTGAAATTGTAAATTTAAAAAATTAAATTTTATCATGATTAATTACAACCGTTTATTGTAAGAATCAATAAACAAGATTGGTTAACAAAGTTAACACAATAATCTTGGTTAACATTTGAACCAGTCCATATATATATATATATATATATATATACTTGGGA